GGGTGCGGCGGGGGTGCACGCACGGTGAAAGGGGCAGGGGTGTGACACAAGGTGAGCCCGTGGAGCGCCCTGGACAACAGACAGAGTGCCCGGCCTGTTCTCGAGGCCACAAGGAGACGTTTGGCACCAGGGCTCATCCATCTGGCCTGAAAAGACCCAACCTGCTGGCCCAGCTGCTTTCTCTGGAGTAAACTCCAGGCCACTCGCTCTTGGGCCGGGCTGCCCCTTGACCTGCCAGCCCCTGGGTCCAGGCCTGCTGCACCGCCCAGCTTGCGGCTACCTGTGACCTTAAGGGGACCTTCAAGGGTTACTCCCTGTCCTTTCTGAGGGAGGCTCAGAGAGAGCTGGTTGTCATTTGACATCTGATTTCTCTTCTTCCATGGACATATGATCTCTATCTGGGTTCATGGCTGCCCAGGCGCCCCCACACTGGGATATGGCAACTTCCAGCCAGTGGGTCACAGGAGCAAACTGAGGCCACTTCCAGGGAGCTCTGCAGGGACAGAGGGTGGGGGCCCTTGGTCTTCTTTTCCGGTGTCCTTCCCTCCATCCATTTAAGACAGGGGGAGGGGCACTTAAAAGGGAAGGAGCCTGGGTCCCTGAGGACTTCCTGGAGCAGAGCTGCCACTCCAGCCCTCAGTTACATGTGAGGGGACACAGGTGTCATGTGTGTGCGCCACAGATATTCAGGATCCCCTGCCAGGTCTAATCCCAGCTGACACACTGAGGCGGCCTAGACCTGACTATGTATGAAACGCTTCCTGTGGTCTCACTTCTAAGGTCCGAGGGACAAGCCATGGAGTTGTGAGGCAAGAGGTCACGATGCCCTTATTTCCTTCCCCCAAATCGTCCTCAGTTTATGCGAAGTTGGGCAAAATAATGGCCGCTTTCTGTGCGATTTGGATGCAAAGTTTTGCATCCCTCTAGCATGCTCGAAGGTGGTGAGAACGAACCACTAAATGTTCTGATCATTCCGTGTTGCAATCGCATCGGGCTGTGATAAGGGTTATTGAACCGTCTGACCTCACCGTCTTTCTTCTCTCTCCTGTCAACCTCAGCAGCGACTGAGGCATGTGGTGGGGCTCCCCACGGGGGCGCCTCCAAGTTTCCAACTGTCCGCCTTGTAGCTGGTAAACTCCTGGACCTCAGGTGCCACGTTGGGTTTTGAATTTCCTCGCTGCTGCTGGACACCCGTCTCAGCCTCAGCTGGCAGGGAGGTCGGGGTCTCAGACGAATGAGGGCCCTCACTTCGAATGGCATTAAAATGTGGACCCTCTGAGGACTGTCCAGAGCTGCCACCACGCAAAGTGCTGCCTCAGAACAGGAGCCACCACAGGCTTTCTGAGCCGTGGCCGACCCCGCCAGGCCCCCCCTTAGCAAACACCTTCGCCCAGCTGTGACTCCGCGACCTTCGTCAAGCCTCCCACTTGTCCAGGGGCCTTCCTCCAAGCCAGCAGTTGAGTATCCACTGGGCAGACATGGGTACTGAGCAGGTAAAAGACACCTGATTAGTCTCCACATGGGAGAGGAGACAGGCTGTCGTAACTAATCCGGAATGGATCATTTAGCTCTATTTTTGAGCTTAGTTTAGCTTAGAAAGTAGCTCCGGTCATTCTAAAGGGGATATTTGCAGAGCATCTAAATCGACACCTGTCAGATGTAAACGCGGCCGGTAATATTTTCAGGATCTTGCAACCCGTCACCACCAGCGTCACCGTAACTCTCGCTGTGCTGGCAGCGAGGCCACAGGCCTGGTGAGAAACGGACTGCCGGCTAGAGCAGGACGCGAGGCACAGGCCTCCGGCTAAGCCACAGCCCTCGGGGACTGTCCACAAGCCCAGCGGCGCCCGGACCCAGCGGGCACGGGTTCGGAAGCGGAGCCTCCCGACTCAGCGCCCTGCGGAGCTCAGCTGAGCTCGAGCCGGCCGCCCCCCGCCCCGCCCGGCGTGTGGACCCCGGGGCACCTTGACGTAGCAGCGGATCAGGATCCTGCGGAGGTCAAACACCTGCAGCATGGCGGCCGCGCTGTTGTCCACGATGCTGTAGCCCTCCAGGATGTACTGCGTGCGCGTGACCTCCCAGGCGAGCCAGCGCAGGCTGAAGGCCGCGTTGCAGGACAGCAGGTGGGGCGGGTGGCCGGGCTTGCAGCAGCAGCAGCCCCTGTTCCCCTCGTCGCCTTCCATGATGGCCTCCACCTCCCTCTGCTGGCAGTAGGTCCCTGGGGGCACACACACCAGCGGGTTACACGGGGGCCGGGGGCGACCTGTGTTTCCAAGGGGCTTCCCCCCGCCTGCTCTGAGGGGAAGATGCTGCGCAGTCTGGGGTCAGGAGACTTGTTCAATTCTTAGCTCACACAGGCCCCCGAATAAGCCCCAGTTCCCGAGTCATGAACTTTTTTACGCATTCATACCATTCCGATTCTTGTCTCCTACCCAGTTTTCAGCTTCTTTTCATACCTGGAAACTTTTATTATATGTCGGATGTTGTTGATGTTCAGTGTTGACAGCCCGGGCTCTTTTGTTTTCCTTTAGAAAGAGTTATGTTCTGTTAAGCAGTTAATTTATTTGTACATCAGCTTGTCAGCTGGATCCTTTTGAAATGTTTTCTTTTCATTTTGCAGTTACGGTTGATGTGGAATATTATATCAGTTTCAGCAGATTACAACAGGGTGATTAGACATTTATATAACTTAGGAGGTGATCCCCGGATAGGTACCGTACAGTTATTACAATATTGGACATGTTCCCTTCACTGTGCTTTCCATCCCCGTGACTATTTTTCTAACTGGCAATTTGTGCTTCTTAACCCCTTTCACTTTTTTTGCCCAACATCCCAACCCCCCTCCCATCTTGAATCTTTGGTTTTTAATCTTTGGTTGGGAATGTCTGGAGCAGCCCTTATTCTAGGGTGACAGTGTCCCGGTTCCCAATGCACGGTCTTCCTGGGGTCTCAGTTGAATTCCTGGGATGACCCACAAGGCCTCTCCACTGGCTGATGAGGATTTCTCCATCTCAGCACCGATGCCCTCCCGAATCTCTATTTAGCTCAGCCCCCGCCCCCCGGCTTGCCTACACAAGAGCAGGTTAACATTCACCCAGTCACCACGGGGGATCCCTATACTGATCTCTGCAGGTCCAGCTCTGAGAAACTCTCTCCTGTCTGGTGCTCTGACCCATAAAATCTACCTGAGCTACCTGAGCACCCACAACCCGCATTCATCTCCCTCCCTAGTGCAGCCAGACCACTGTGCCCTGCTGGGCTCCACCTCCCGGTACCACAGGTAAAAAAGTGCCTCCCGGAAGAAAGCAGGGGCATTTATGCAGCTTACTCTACGGGTTTTCTTTTGCTCACTGATCAGAGCCTTGCACTCCCTGTTGCCCGATATCTGAAAACAGGTGAAATCTATTTTCCCAGTTTTTTAATTTTTTATGGCAGGAAGGATCACCGATTACTCAGTTGTGGCCAACAGAGTAAGTCTCTGAGACCTTCTATGTGTCTTTTGAGACTCAATTCGGACATGAAACCTGTCTCTACGCTCATTTCCACAGGATCCACTTTTCCTGGGATTCCATATTCACAGTGCCTGGTACTTAGTGGGTGCTAACAAAGCATTTGGTGGAATGATTGAATGAATGATTAAATGATCAAATAGGAGAATTCTTATGCAAATCGCCATATGAAAGACAACAGACACCCTACTGAGCAGATGCATAGCAGATGCCACAGAAGTATTACATTCACGGTGGAGGCAGATAAAGAAAGGCGCTGTTTATACTAAGCCTCCCTGTAGAACCCGAGTGAGATCCTCGTACTACATCAGAGACGGAAAACTACAACCTTCAAATAATGCTGTACACACAGAGCTGTTAGGATAAGAGTTTACAAAATAGGAGTCAAGGTCAGGGAGGGGAAAGCAAGCAGGTTGCGTAACTAAGTGAAACACTGAAGGACTGATCCCGATCTTACGGTTAGCACAGGTAGCTAGATATCAACAAAGGAGGGGAGCAGAGGGGAGCAGGCATTGTGAAGCCTAATAAACCGGGGAGCTGACCGACACTGCGCCTGCTGCGCACTCACAGGCTCCCCAGGGGACCACTGCGTCCTGGGCCTGGGGTCCTAATCCCCGAAGTGGGCAGGAAGGATCCTTACAGGTCATTATCCGGGATTATGGAGGGAAAGGTAAAACAGTAAGAGGAAAATTCCTCTGTTGGGTGCATGCCCAGTAGAAGCCAAGAGGGCACAGGGGTAGGTCCTTCTACTGCGAGGCCTGTGCCGTAGGAACTAAGACGGCAACACAAGGGGCAGAGCCCAGCCTGGGAAAGAGCCCGACTGGATAAGGGACAAGGCCGGGAAGGTCTAGTAAGTGGACTGGTTGGGGGGAGGGGCCCGGGACAAGCCCGGGCAGGACCGGGACACTGACTGGTGAGTTTGAAAGGGCGTCTGGTCGCTCCCAAGCCTGAGACAGTGTAATCAGAGCCTGACAAAGGCAAGGCTCACCCCTTCCCTTCCCCCTAACCCCCCCAGCTGGCAGCATCCTCTCTCTCTAGCAGCCACGTGGGCTCCAAGCGCAGGCTCCAGGCGCCGGCCCGGGCAGAGTAACCGACCGGCAGAGCACAGCGGGAAGAGACACTACCGCACAGCTGCTGGCCAGGCGGACCAAGGCTGAACTGGACTAAGCTCTGACACGCACTCAACCAATGGCACAGAATTTCTGGGCCCTGGCCTTTCTTCTGGGCTTGATGAAGACAAGGCTGGACTTTTTCCACAGGGGGATGGAGCTGGGCCTGGGACAATCCTTTGTGTTTGCTCCAACTTCAATAAATCTTGGCACCATACCTCATCCAACCAGGTGTGGTCCCCAAGATGCTTTTCTTGCGACACCGCAAGGTCCCCATTTCCACTGGCAACATCATGACTCCATTTGTCTTTCTCCAAGACCTCACTGGTTTGGGTCTGAGCTGAAAGCACTTCCTTAAACATTTCAAGGGTCTCTGGGCTCATTCTGCAATATAAAACCTTTCTTCCCTCTGGGAAAGCTGTGTAGAAATACACAGGTGAACTGAGAGCAGTGGGTAATTCAGGCCGCACACCCTGGGGCACCCGGAGTGAGCAATGACCGCCGTGCGCTACCTGATCGGCCCACTGGGACCCCGGGACTGCAGCCACCGACTCCAGTGGTGGGAGCCCTCTCACGCCTCCAAAGTGGTTTGCTGCAAGTTAATATTGTAATTTAGGAAGAAACTCTTTCAACAAAAGAAGACAGTTCTTAGAAACATACTACGGAGGACGCAGCATAAAGGAAGGTTTCATCCCACTTAGATTTGCAGAACTGGGTAAACCTTAAATGACATGTCTCGGGAATCTGAGCTCCTTGCTAATTTTCTTCCTCTTTTCTTCTCCACCCAGCGCTAGCATTTATCATGTTGGGCTGAATGTCAGGGTTTTTTATTTTTTCCTTACATCAAACAACTGGAAAACTGTGTGTGTGTCCATGCGTATGTGTGTCCATGTGCACACGAGATGATGCAGAGTTTGGACTGCTGCTATCCCGGTGAGATACGTTAACACCACACCCGGGTGATGACAGGACAGCGGAGGAAAGTGTTGGCCGTGAGCACCGACAGGCTTGGTAGGACACCAGGACCACCAAAGGCCTTCAATAATCTCAGTTCACGTAGGTCTGCGGACCTCCCCTTAGGAACAAAGATTCACAGTCAGAATCACGTTGTAAAAGATTATGAAAATAATGAAACCAGATTACATCTGCATAGACACTGATCTTGCTGTTCAAATGCAAATCGAGGCCCTCACACTCCTGGGACCGGCTCACAGGATTTCGAGCACATTCCCTCCAAAGGGGACAGTTGAAGGTCAGTGGCCCCCACGTGCGACCGTTCGCACCACTGGTGGAGATGAAGGCTGGCTGGCTCTGTCTTGTGTGTTCATTGAAACTGACTCCTGGCATCTTTGAGGCTGCTGCGTTCTCATGGTCTGTCCGTGGGACATAGAAGGCATTTACTAAATATTTTAAAAATTCATTTTGAGAGAATCTTGGATCTTTTCTTTCCGATAGAGCAGAATGCCTGATTAAAGCTGTGCATATTGAGTGTTTGAGCTGAAGATGCATTTATCAGATCCCAGATGTCATTATCAGATCCCAGATGTCCTGCCACGAGGGATATGTATCGATTGCCCGGGTGCAGCCACAGTGTGCGCAGCTCTGCTGCTGCGGCCAGGCCCTCTCCTGAGCACCCCACTTCTCCGCCCTGGGCTTGTCTGCAGGGGAGCAAGCACTTTGAGTGCCATTTGCCGCGTCTACTGGAGACAGGCGGGCCTGGCTAACACATTCACACTCAGTTCCAGAAAGGAACGAAGTCAATCCGAAAAGGCACACCCAGTAGGGAAGCAAATGATAAAATTTAAGTGGAAATGGGGGCCAGAAAAATATGATGAAGCCGGAATAACACCGAGAGACCCTAAGTGTTCCACGATGCCCTGTATGTTGACCGAGGTCGGTCACAGGTTTCCCTTTGGCTTTCCAGCAGCCGACGGAGAAGGAAAACTTGAATAGTTTCTTGTGTCCTTACAACAAAAACAAAATAATTGCTCAGAGGTCATGACTATTTGTGGCAAAGGCACTGGCGAGATGATACCGCAGGACCCTCATGGGAGAACACTGTGGACACGGGAACACCTTCCTTAGTGACACTGCACAGGACGGTCACCGAGCCCTGCTGATGTGCCACAGTGCGGAGGAAAAGCGCTTGTGTAGGTGGTCAAACAAGTCAGCCGTAGGAACGTGGTTCTCCAGAGGCCAGTGTCACCCAGGGGCGGACTTGAGAGACTGGTGAAGACACGGAGATCGCCAGGCCTTTCTGGGACGCCTTGGTCTGGGCCATTTCTCTCCCGGGTTCTGACAGTGACTGTACACAGAGCAGGAGGGCATTTTAATGCTCTGTCCCTGGTCAGTGCAGTCATGCGGCTTTAATGGTCACCCAGGCTGGAGGCGGAGGTGACCTTCTCTTGGGAAAGTTGGGACGCAAAAGGAGAACAGTTGTCTGAACAGAAGGTCCAGCAACTGAAAATTAACCCAAAGTACCCCCTTACCCCCCATTCCAAACAATCCCTGGGGAAGGTCCCCTGGGAAGCCTGGGCCAGGGGACAGACAGGATCCCTGAGGGGAAGGGGTGGGACTCAGGGCAGGCTGGCTGGACTGGA